ACCCCAGCCCACCCACCCAGAGCCACGCCCCTGCCTCGCCCCCAACCTGCGCAACCTCAGGGGGACTGGATGGCAGCGCTGGCCGTGAGCTACTCAGGATGTTGGGGCTCCTCGAGTTGTGTGCGCACAGGCCACGGCCTCCCTGGCTCGAAGGATCCAGCCCTCGTGTGCTGCTGGTGCACAAGAGCGCAGCAAGGAGCATGGGGCAGTGGGCAGGCGAGAGGTGCACCAGCTGGGCCAGCTGTGGACTGGGTGGGCAGCAAGTGGCAGGGGGGGTCAGGACCGTTGGTCAAGTTGGCTTCAGGTTGTCTCAGCTCCCTGGGGCCAGGGCAGCCACGTGTTGGCAACCCGTCATTGGGCCGGGGTGCGCGAGCAAGAGGGCAGCGCAGGGAGACCATGCTCAGAGCCGAAGCTGCCCCAGGCGTTGTGGGGAGAGGCCTGGGGCTGGGGGCAGGGGCACTGGGCCCTGGCTCTCTGCGGCCCACGCTGCCTCCTGCTGCCACGGGGCCAAGGCAGGGACCAAGTCCAGCCGCCTACATTGGAGTCGCGCCGCTGCTTGCCACACACAGGCACATGCAGGGGTCAGGGGTCACGAGCAGGAGGTGCCAGCGCTCATTTAGAGAGAGAGCAGGAGCTGCCAGACTCTGCTCTCAGGGCTGGAGGTAGGGCCAGGCACCAGCGCCCAGGGCTGGGCTGATGGCAGCAACAGGACATCCCTGCACCCAGCACCCCTCACACACGCAGGCGCTGCCCACTGCAATGCAGGGACCTGATCCAGCTCGAGGCCCGCAGCACGGCTGGCCAGGGCCGGAGGGGATAATTTGGGAAGGGAGGGTCGCATTCATGACCTAGGCCCGGCTTCATGTGGAGAGAGACACCAAAACCTCAGCCAACTTCTGCAGGGAGCTCCAGGGCAGTCTGGAGGTTTTCTTCTCCATGCGCAAGGACGGCGCAGCAGCAGCCTGTCCCCAGCACCAAGGAAGCTGCAACCCAGAGCTCTGAGCTGTCCTGGACACATGCGCCCCAATTCCCCGTGTGCTTGCGTCCTTGTCCCCCCCCCCTCCCACTGGCCTCTCCAACCCATCCCCTCTGTAACCCCAAGCTCCTTGAGACACGGACCGTCGCATTTTGTGCTGCATTCAACAGCACAGGGCTCCGACCTGGCGGAGTCTGGAGATGCTGCTATCACCTCCCCACCTAGACTAGACCGTGCTCTAACGACTGACTATCTGCCAGCATCGTTAACAATACCAAGCAAGAACTTGTCAGGGCTCAAACAGACTGTCACCTACCAAATACAGCGAAGCTCTCCACCCCCCCGCCCTGAAGAAACAAAAAAAGGGGGGAACAGGGAAGCTTAGCTAGTAGTTTCATCAATAAATCAATTTATTTAAAAGAATATGTTACAATTAATTACACTAAGTGACTTTACCAAACAATTTTAGAGTGGTTAGCTCTAGAGAACGAGGAATGAAACACTGTTAGCGAGTTGGTTTTGTGGGGTTTTTTGTTGGGTTTTTTTTTTCTCTTCTTCCTTCTTCACATTTCGGAATCACAAATAAAAAATACAAGATACTGCAGTGAAAATACAATTAGAGTTCTCTCAAATAAATTAAAAGGGGGATGTGCACGGCACTGAAACCAGGGCTGTTTTGACTGGCTCGCAATAAAAAGAGCAAGGGCATGAGACCAAAGTTTTGGTCAATTTGGTGGTAGGCATCAGTTCTGGCCCCTCCTGGCCAGGGAGACCCCTCCTTCACCCGCTGCTCCTCCGCTGATCGTATTATTGCTGTTAGATCTAGTATGTTCCTCCCACACAGGAGCACGTTTCAAGCCAGGGTTGGGTTGGGGGGGGTGCAGAAGCAGGGACAGAGTATAGGAAGCAGAGAGAAGGATGCGTGGTCCACCCTCCTCCCTGAAACTCAAGAGCAGAGCGGGGTCTATACACGCTGGCTTCCAGTTTGGGGGGGAGGGGGGTGTTGCTTTGCGGCACTGCAAAACTGGGGAATAGAGCAGGTGGGATGGGAGATGGGACAACAAGGACGGCAGCTGGAGAGAGCCGAAGCATTAGATGCAGGCACGGCTGCTGCTCAACCTGTATCCGACTCCCCTGATGCTGTTGCACCTCCGAGACCTGCCTGCGAGCTGCTAGTTTAACCCCGGGGGGAGCACGCCCGCCGGCAGCCTAGACGTACCCAGAGAAGGGGCTTTCCAGCTCCATGGGGATGGGAAATAAGTAGCTGAGGGGAGAAAGAAGCACAGGGAACTAGACCTCTCCCCGCTAGGGTCCAAATTAACCTACACGTTGGCACCAGGCCCAAGCTCCATGGTCTCAGCCAGGAGCCTGGTTCAAGTGCAAGATGCTTGCTAGAAATGTCCTTAGATAAAACAGAAGGGGCATCTCAGAGAGCAGGTCTACCCCATGCTGCCCCCTCCAGCCCCTGCCTTTCCTGCAGTACCAAGAGGCTCTGCTTTGGTTTGCTGGGAGAAAATGCTTTCCCCTGAGCACACCCAGCCACACAAACTGCTCACAGCCCAGGGGCATGGGGCACCTGTGCGGGACAGCCGATAAACACACCGGTTTCCTTGCCTTGATCTCGACTGCAGCCACCCAGAGAGAACAGGGCTGAGCTCAGCCTCAGCTCATTAAAGCTCTCGCATGCATGGCACCTTCCAGCTGTTTCATGCCAAGAGTGCTGGAGGAAAGCAGCTACCGCATGTTCTTGCCTATAAACCGCCTTAAATATAAGATGCACCTTGTTGATGAAATGCATTACAATCAATGTTGCTCCCCACCCCCATTATGGCTTGCACAGAGCAGAGACAGAGCGTCATCTCCAGCCGACTCGCCCTCCCTTTCCTGCTTACCTAAAACCTCAAGTGCTGCTGGAGACCTTCCAGCTCCCTGACCTGGAAAAGAGCTAAAGAGCTGTGAAATAGGAGAAAAGACCCTCGCAGACAGCAACGTTCCCCTAAGAAAAGTTAGCTTCAGTGGTAGAAAATTGAGACCATGAAAAAGGAGAGATGATTGTTAACACCTGCCCAAAGAGTGATTGATACAGGGATCAAAGCAGGGTGCTTCCATCTCAAGCAAGGAAGCTGATTTTTTTTGCCCAAACACTCACCCCAGATTTGGGGTAGATATGAAGGCTAGAAAATATGGCATATAGTGAGTGCAGCCTGCCCTGGTTCCCGTGCACAGGGTCAGAGCCGCGGTGTCACGGCAGGCCCAGCCTGGCTGTTTCAAGGGGGGGAAAAACCACTCAGAGAATTAAAAGCACCTGAAAACCGATCCCCCGCTTCGATCGGAGTTTGTACCTTGCGAGCCTGAGCTGGGGTAGGAGACAAGGCAGACGCCCTGGGGCGGTTCTGGAGGGATCAGAAATCAGAGGAACCGAAGGCACCGGGAGAACGGGACCTGCATCCTGCCATGTTTCACACACTTCAATGTGGCCTTCAGAGCAATTCCAGCCCCCAGACCCATGCCCCGAGTGCACAGCAGGGGTGCGCGTGGCCTACATCCCTAGACTGCCACAGCGTTTGCCTCAACACAGCTGCAGCTCGAGGCTACAGCAGAGGGGGAGGTAGGCTTTAAAATCCACAAGCAGCGTGATGCCTGGGTCACGGCTGTTTCGCTTGTCCCGTTTACTTGGACCTCTCTGCCGAAGCCCCCAGTGTCCCTGACTAGGGCTGAGGACGGCCCTGGACATGCCGGCCCCATGCTGCACAGGGGTTTTATGCTGCCTCTCTCCATCTGCCCCAGCCTCCAGGCAAACTCCAGCATTGGGGGAACCCAAAGCCTGGTTCACATGCTTGAAACATGGTAGAAAAAGATGCTGAGCAAGAGAGGAGAAAGTGTCATTGGTTCATAAAAATCCCAGAGCAGTAGGGCAGGAAGGGAGCTCCAGAGGTCACATCCAGTCCAACCCCTGCCCGAGGCAGGGTCAGCCCTGTCCAAGCCATCCGAGACAAATCCTATTCATCTTCTCGCTGTGCTGAGCTGAAAACAGCCCCCTCCGCTCCTTCCCGCACACGCCCCACCAGCGAGCTGCCAACTTACCACTCACTCCAGGCCCAGAGACCCCTGCATCTACCCCATCGCCTCCTACCCAGCCACTATCCTGGCACCTCCAGACCATTCTCAGGTGGCAGTGCCAGGATCTGAGTAGGAGCAGGAAAGGAGCTGGGGACCCAAAGGACAAATGCTGGGAGAAGACGGGCACCAGGTTGGCTGCAGCCCTGCCATCAAACCTCCACGCCCGACTTGATGAGCCACTAAACAGGATTCCCAGGCTCTGCACTGCCCCAAGGCCAGGGTCTGGCCTCCCCTCCGGACACCACAGATCTCCACAGGACTCAGGGCTCCCAGGGGCAGGGCCCCATCCAGCCTGGCCAGCGCCAGCAGAGATGGAAGGGAACTGGAAGCTGCAGGCGGGGGCTGGATGGAAGTCTCTCATCTCTGCTCAGTTAAAATCAGAAGCAAATTCACAGCTGCTGAGGCTGGGGCTCAGGGAAGACTGACAATAGCTCATCTGAATAAGCAGCGTGGGGGCTAGATGTGGTTGGGTACTACTGCATGCAGGTCTTGCAGCGTCCAGCCAGGCTGGCTTCCCCCTGGCTCTCCAAGGCTGACAGGAGGCCGGGCACTATCCCTTGCGTGGTGGCTTTTCCAACCACCTTTGCCAGCCTCTGAAGAGGGGGCAGAGAGAAGGCAAATTGATCCCTTCTCCTCTGGGCTGCAGAGGTCAGGGACAAACACTGCTCACCTGGCTGTACCCAGCCCTCCCCACCACAACACTGACAAGCTTTGAACCCCAGAGGTCTGAGCTTGGCTTGCTGCTCTTGGCCGGCGTTGGACGGCTCCCTGTTCCATGCTCAGGCTTCAGGATTAGCAATAGGGAACCAGCATTTGCTCTAACAGGAGACAAGAAAGGAAACACCTCCTTTTAACTGCAGAGTACGTGGCCCGTAGCTCCCAGCAGCTTGTAGTGCAAGGCAAAGCCTGGCTCCTTTCCCCAGCCAACTCCAACTGGCCTGGGATTACTCGGCCCAGTGCCCATCTCAACCAGGCATTATAACATCCAGCCCTGCTTGCACCTCTGCTAGACAATGATTTGGGTCTGAGAGAAACAAGCCTGAAAAAGGACGTGAAGGTCACAGATGGAGAAGAGGAGAAGCGGAGAGAGGCAGCCCTGGAGTCGGACGTGGTAAAAGCACTGACCCCAACATGCTTCAAGTCAAGGAAACGCCAACACTACCTGTCCTAGCAGCTGCTTCACAACGCCCATCACCTGCCATACAGAGGTGCTGCCGGCTGCACAGGATTCAACTAGAAGGAGGCAGTTGATGAAGGCCCTACCTAGCCCCGGCTCCCAGCTCCACTCTCTGCCTGCAACAGCTGGTTGAATGCTTAGAGCTAGATTTCACCCAGCCAGCTTGCTCCTGGCATCCCAAGGCATGTGGGCAGAGGTGGAGGGGCTGACTGGGCCACAAGGCCAAGTTTCTCCCTAGCAGGCACTGGCCCTGCCCAAGGTGCTTGCAGCCTGCCTTCACCCCAGAGCACAGACCGACTGGGCCAGGTACAGGGATGATGCATTTCCCATGAGCAAATTCACAGCTCATCTGTTCTCTGCCTAGCCAAAGATGGGTTCCTAGAGGCAAAGGCTCGCCCCACCACATCATGGCAAGTGCCAAGCCCTGCCCAGGCCTCCGCTTCTGGCCTTCCCACAGTGTCATCCCCTGGGTAGAGGCAGACAAGGCTGCTGCCCCAGGGGAATGCTGGCAAACTCGTCTGGGGCTTTTGCAGTCCCTTTCTCCCCCCTTGTCTGCGAGGCACAAGCCCCCCTTCACTCTCCCCACCCACCTATCAGTGCTGCCTCTGCAGTGCACTAGTAAGGGAGAAGGGGCCTCCGTGCTTGCTGTGCAAAGCCCTCTAGGTATCAGCAAGGCCTCACCCCAGCATGGCAAGGGGCTTGCAAACACCCCTTTGCCTTACACTTCAATGGACAGGAGTGCAGTCAGACCCAGGGGCAGCCACAATCCTGCCCCCCAAACCATGTGATGGAGACACCCATCGAGGTACTAACCAGCCTCTGAGCAGCTGCAGGGCTCCCCTGACCACTCCCGAACCACCAGACCTCAAGTCTGGCTCTCCTGGCTCCCAGGGTCCCTCTCACTGTTCAGCCAAACATTCACAAGGGCCGGGGATGACAATCAGAGCAGCCTGGGCTGTAAACCCCGCTGTATGCAGAAGGAGAAGCTACCCAGCTCAGCACCCCACCCTGCTGAGTAGAAACACAGGCACTGAGGTCAAGAGAGGGAAAGGAGACAGCTATGCTGTCCAGCTTTGTAGAGCATATCACAGATCAGCACACAAATCCCCACTTCCTTCTCCACACATGCACACAAATCCCCTGCTCAGGCCAGCTGAGTGCTGAGGGACAAAGGTCCTGGCACTGTCTGTGGGCACAGCTGGGTCCATCCTGTCAAACAACCCAGGCCCCTGCAAACGGCACCAGTTCTCTGGCTGCAGCAGCTCATGTCTCAGCCTCAGAAGCCAGGGAAGGGAGGGAGCCTAGAGATCTGTGGAGAAGAACAGCAGGGGAAGCAGCCCTGGGCAGGATATTTCAGTCCCTTGCAGGTCACGAGTTGCACAAAAATACACCTTCCGAGGGGCCTTCACTTGGGAACGGGCCTGACCCTAGCTCTCTAGCATGTAGATGAGTTTCACTGCTTAACAGGCAACACAAAGGGAAGCCCTGAAGCAGAAGCAGGAAAGGGGACACAACTGGGCCCTGCTGGCAGGAGCAGAAAGAATAAGCTGTTGCAGACCAGGTTAGACAGGGCGGGGGAAGCTTTCAAGAACAGGCAGCTTGCTTGATTTTTCCTAGCAAAAGGGGATTTTTCCTAGCAAACATCTGCGTTTGGACATTTGCCTGCAGTGTTGGGTGAAGCAGGATTGAAAGGTGCTGCTAGTGGGAGAAGGATAAAACACAAGGAGAATAGGAAAGCAGCAGAGGATCCAACGCCAGGTCCATGCAGGATTCTAATCCCCAATCCGCCACTGACCTCGGATGCAAACCTCCAGCTCGCTGCACACGAGCTCGACCTCAACGCTCCCGAGTCACCGGGGTTCTGCCTTCTGCGGTTGCAGGGATGGGCATGTCCCTCGGAGCGATCCCATTGGATTCAAAGAGGGCTGCCTGCATGCAGATCTTCCAGGTGCCAAGATGCAAAACAATGATCCTTTATCAAGGAAAGATCCCCACACTTACCCCATCACCCTCCCTGAAATGCCAGACCCTGGAACTGGGATTCGATGCAAAAAACAAACCACTGACAATTAAAAGCTTGTAGCTCTGGAAGAGTCCTTTAGCAAAAGAGAGGTATTTCCCTATTGGGTTACTTTTTTAGCTTTTTTTTTTTTTTTTTTTTTAAAGTAAAAACACAACAGATATGGAAGAAAGAACTGCGCATAAAAGCGCAAGCTTAAAAAAGGTCCGGGCGCTGGTATGAAAGTGTAAAAGAAATATATATATATGTATATACAGGTCTGGTATTCTGTATATATAACTGTTCTTCTTTATACATACATATATATGTCTGAAGTGTGCAAATGGATGGCGGTGTCTTCATTCCCAGTTGTAAAAAATACAATGTACAGTCCATCTCTTGGTCTGGGACTCAAGGGGGGGTGGAGGAAGAAGACCGGGGCGGGGAAAGAAACCAAATGGAAAACCCTGCAGTGGATTTTATGTCATCGCAATGTTTGGTCTCCCTTGGGCATTGCTGAGCCTGCTGTCTCTGTAGCTGCTGAAGTCCATAAACATGACATTCACGAATGGTATTATTATTAATATTTAGTTTAAGGGCTTTTTAATACAATAAACAGAATTTTTTTTCTTTTTTTTCTTTTTTTTTTAAATTTTAAGTGTTAATTTTGGGGGGTTTACACTCCTCCGCAGCGAGGGCTAAGTGGTGGCATCCCTCTGCTGTGACCTGACCATCTGAAAGATATTCTGAAAGAGAAGAGAGAAGAGAAGGCAGCAGTTATTCAGCAAGCCTCTGGGTCTGGGTGCATGTTGCCGACACCCATGTCCCCGCCCCGTGCCAGGAGCACCTTCTACCCGGGAGAAGTGTACAGGGGCTCCAACTTGCCCTCAAGTCACATTTGCTCATGGCAGGGCCAGGAGTAGAGCCTGGGGAGCAGGGTTTGGGCCCGACTCCCAGCCTTGCTGCCTCCCTACAGCTGGTACCAGGACCCAGAAGTGCAACTCAGCATCTCACCCTGAGAAACCAGACTCCCCTCCCTGCTGGGCTCATCACGCTAGTTGGTTACAGTGCCAGCATCCCCCAGCAAACTTTGCCCGTGCTCCACAGTCCTGATCCACGGCGGCACCTCCTGTGCTGGTACTCAGATCCCCTCCACCCATGCCTACTGCCTCATTGATGCCTCACCTTTGCATCACTCCAGCTCTGCTAACAGCTCACTCCAGCATCCCTCCCACCTCTCAGATGTGAAGTGGATACAAACTGAATGGTGGTTTGCAACTGGGAGAAGCCAACTTCCCTTCCTGGTCCCTGGTATCACCCTGCCTCGGCCTAAGACAACACCACGGCCATTGCCACAATAAGCAGCTCACCCAGCAGAGGTGCTGCTTGCTGGCCCGCGGTCACGGTGGGCTCTGCTCAAGTCTGGTCCCCACGGCTCTCGGATATGCAGGCTGCAATTCTCTGCCAGGGTGATGGATGACAAATCACCATTAGTAATAACCATCATTGGAAGCCAGGGTGTGAGCAGCAGGTGGCAGGGAGCAATCAACAAGATCTGTTGGCTCAGGAAGGCGGCTATAACTTCTGCCCTGTGGCATGGAGGTTTCAATGTGCAATGGAGGCCTCTGCTGAAGCCCAGCCAAGGGACTTTGCTCCTTATGGAAAGGGGTGAGAAGGGAAGCCCCACATTAGGATAGCTGATGGCAGAGCACCATGCTGGTGGCTGGTGTGGGAAAAGGCACATTAGAGGGGGCAGGTCTGATCTGAAACAGCTGGACTCTTGGGGCTGCCACAGCTGTGCCCGCACCCTGCACCTCGGCCATGGGTCCGACTGGGTGCCAGGTGGTTTCCAGCACTTGGCTCTTTTACAGAGGTTTTAAATCACGGCATCGGCACAGCCAAGGCATGTCCAAGATGCCTTGGGGTGGGGAACTGCTGACAGCCACTAGTGCCCAGGTGTCTGCTTGTGCACGAGACTGTCGCATCCCCACAGCAAACAGGTCCTTGCAGGGATCCCAGTGAAATACTGGATGAGCCTGGTTCTTCTACTCTCATCTACTCACAGCTCCTCCTTGGCGCCTGCTCCAGCTGCTAAGCACTGACTACCCTGTGACCGTCAGGTGCTGCCAGTCCAGGAGAAACACGAAATGATCTACAAAGGGTTTCAAAGCAGCAAGCAGGGGAACTGCAGGCTAATGGAGCTCTCTCACAGCAGGCAGGGAACAGGCCTGGGCTAGCTATAAACACCACCAGGTGAGTCTCAGTTACAGACACAAGCACACAGCGTGCATCCAGGCAGGCAAGGCAGCTGCATGTTGGACACAGCTGGGGGAAGGGGGCAGAGGGCTGCATGGAGAAGGCAGCAGGGGGCACTGGCAGGATCTACAAGGACGGAGCCATGACTCTGAAGGAGCTGCAGGGGCAGCAAGATGGACCTAGTGCCCACCAGAGAGCCCTCAGCTGAACTCATGCTTCCACACTGCTGACTAGTGAATCCCTCAGGGTGAGCCACAGAGGTGGGACAACACCCTGCCGGAGAAATACCAGCATCTCCTGGCCTTTCCTCCCCTCGCTCTCTAATCAGCTGGCATCAGTGCCGCCAGGGAAGGCAGTGTGCAGAGGTGCCAAGCCGCTGGCACAGACATTTCCTCCCAGCTTCTCCAAGGAAAGTCTATTTTCTAACAAACTCTGAGCCCAAAAGTTCCTTCTGCTCAGGGCACATGCTGCATGGAGGGTTCGCTGCCTTCCCAGCCTGCAGCACGACAGGTAGAATATGAACCTCTCCAGCCACTGACCAATACTGGGGAGCACAGGCTCTGGCTTTCTCTGGATTATGCTCAGGCTGCCACGGGAGCCATTAACTGAAACTCATCTTGTTCGAAACCCAGGGCTCCTCTGGGAAAACCATTAAACCCTCAGTATCAAGGGGGCTGTTCTTGCAGTCATATGGGGAACAAAGTACATTAAATCCAAGAAGCTCTGCAGACTGCTAGCCTTCAACCGATGTTCGCTCCACTTCGTGCCAGCTGCCAGCAGAAAGGGCGGCCCAGGAAGGGACTGTGCTCAATCCCACAGAGTCCAAGCTCAGACACCAATCTCTCTTCAAGGCTTCCAGGCTAGGCTGGGAGCCCAAGTCCCAGCTCTATGGAGCAGGGTGGGGATCAGTGTCATCTGAGAGCAGCATCCAGAGAACTTCATTCCAACAAGACCCTTCCTAATTCAGCCCCCCACGCTTCCTTTCTCAGGCTTGAACGTCCGTCCTGCCCCTCTGCTACAATGCTCCTCACGTCCTTCACTTGCAGGTCTCTCTGCCACGGTCACCCCACTGTCTTCCATATGCCCACAGGCAGGGTTCAACTGTCTCAAACTCAAATCACAAACCTCCCGTCGCTGCCCACGCTGAGACGCAACAAGGCACAAGTCCAGTTTCATCTTTCAAGCACTCTCCCATGGCAAGTGAAGGTGAGGCCGGAGCAGCTAACCCTTGTTCCATTCACTAGTAAACTTTCATAAGGACTAACCATTTCCCAGGTCAGACCACAGGTCCATCTTGCCCAGCCCCTGTGTCACTGGGAGAGTGAACTGGGTACAAACAGGGTTTTTCCCACTGATCCTCTCTCACTTGCAGCCTCCAGCATTTAAGGTTTAGGAACTTCTGATTCAGAAGCCATGCCCATGAGCCCCATGCTTGACAGCTACTACTGATGCCCCTTTCCTCCAAGAACGTGTGCAATCCCTTGGCGAATCTGGCTGAACTCTCAGCTTCTACCACATCTGGTGACAAGTCCCACACTGTAATAACACTACATCAAAAAAATTCCTGGGGTTGTTTCAAACTTATTACCTACTAGTTTCATTTTGTGACCCCTGGCTCTTGTTGTAGGCCTCGCTGGCATGTTGATCAATATATGCTGCTCACACAAAGGCTTTGCTAAAGTACTGACATGAATAGGCCTCACTAGCAAACCTGAGCAATGCATGAACGTCTCACAAACAAAACTTAGCATGTGGGCCAGATGTGCACTCCTAGCAAGAGATGGTAGGGGGAGATGATGGTATAAGGTAAGATAGTCCAGTAGCAGGATGATAAGGCTGGAACAGGAACACCCAGGTCAGGATGTGAAACAAGCCCACGGGACAAGATGGGTTGAGATGTTCAAGATGCAGATGAAATGTAATATGTAATTTGTTTTGATCATGGTATAAAAAAAGAACTGGAAAGCAAGGGAATTTTGTAGCAGCCTGGGGGAGCCTTCATGGTGTTGTGCCAACTACCTTGAAACAGGTACAAATGCCTGATGTGCTTGTTAGGGCTGTGCTTGTAGACAATAAACCTGGCAGGATCTTTTCCACCAAACTGAGCCTGTGATCATTCTTTAAGACAGGACAGGTGTCAAAGTCTCCTGGCTGCAACCTGTCAACACCACAGCTCCTAAAACTTTAATGCTGACAATGCAATGGTAACACCCAACAAGAACAGCAGTAACGATGACACTGGTGACTCCAGACAACACTTGTATTGAGACAGAGTAAATAATAAATCCCTACCAACTTTCTCTTTGCCATTTAGCATTTCATAAACCCTGATCAGTTATCACGTACCCCCTGAAGTGTCTCCTTTCTAAACTGAACAGGCCTGGCCTCTGTAGTCTCTCCTCCTATGGAAGCCCCTCCATGTCATCCTTGTTGCCCTTCTCTGGACCTTCTTCCAAGTTCAGCTTCCACTTCATACAGGATAGGAGCAGACCCAAAAAAGTTGCAGTGGAATAGATAATGTCACCCCATATGCCTATCATACTCTAAATTCCTATTGCTACTGACCGCATCTTGCTGATGTGCAGATAAGCTACATGAATCCACCACTACCCCCATCTCCCACCACAGGGCCCTCACAGAAGATTGTAGAATCATAGAAAATGAGGGTTGGGAAAGGACCTTAGGAGGTCACATCTAGTCCAACCCTTTGGCTCAAAGCAGGACCATCCCCAACTTTATCATCCCAGCCAAAGCTTTGGCTAGCCAGGTCTTCAAAACCTTAAAAAAGATGACCAGCAAGTAGCAGGGACAGCCACAGGAATGCACACAACCTCTGGCACGAGCAGCAGAGCCCAGAGCAGGTGAGACTCCCTGCTGCTGCAGGAAGAGCCAGCATCTGGTTTTGAGATCTCCGATGTTTCCATGACGCTGAGAAACCTGCTTGCTTTCAGAGTAGCAACGTACACTGATCGCACTGCATCTGCGGCGCGTGGGCACAGTCAGCAGTTTACGGAGCGCTAAACATATCTGCCAAGTCTCTGCCAAGTGTCATCAATCTTTTTATATCACTTGGGGGGGGGCATAAAATTGCTAAATGGCTGGCCAGAAATATGCACAATAGAAAACTGCCCCTCCCCACCACTTGCTGGAGATGGGAACAGTCAGACAGCACGGAGGCTGGGAGCAAGATGACCAAGGGCAATGGGGAGGGGCCGAGGTGGTGATGCGCACAGAAGAGAGGCACATCCCAAGCAAACCAAGCAAGCAGAAACGTACTGAAGAAGGGGGAGTCTGGGAGCTATTTCCCAGGGAGGGAAGCAATGCAACATGTAGCACCGGGGACCAGCCGATCAGAACGCAGGGGAGCCGTTTCCTGAGCTCTCACGTACAAACTGATCTCACAGTTCCCCTTGCTGGAGTCCTGCTAGCAGCTATTCCCCCGAGCTCTCTCCAGCTCCCAGCGCTCACATGTCCCCTGTCCCGTGAGACTGCCAAGGTCACTCTTTGGCAAGAAG